GGGCCGATATGAGCCTTTGTGGCCTATTTTATTTTGTTTAATTGTTGAAACCAATATTTCATATTTTTGGTAATCGTTATTCCACGGCAGGCTAGGGGATCTCATTCTCTCATGGTTTCCTTTGCCCATTCCATCTCCATTCAGATATATTCGAGCACACATCTTGTAACCTTGGCGACTGGTAAAGAAGCAAGGCGAATAGATAGATGTAGTAAGCCCAGATATGGCGGCGTTTCTCTTGCGATTGAAGTCGGAAATTTTCCATACCAATACACCATCGTATGAAGCCATCTCCAGCGACTGTATTCGCAGATCTTGTTCAGCTAGAGTTACATCTTTCAGCGCAATGATACGGTCTTGGGATTTGATTTTTCTTTCGAGAGACTCTATCCGACCTCTGGTTTTAATGCGTTCTCTCTCCATGGCCTGTACAACATGTGCATCTGTTTCAATTTGACCATTGAGTACAGTGATATTCGCCTCGTTTGCGACAAATTCAGTACTGAGTGTGGTTAGCTTGTTATTTATCTCTACAATCATCCTATCTTTCTGTTTTATTTGTTCCTTGTCAAATTCACCTCGAGCCGAGCAGCCTCGATATGCATTTTGCAGAATTTGTGGTATGTCGGTTTCTATCTTTGAGCAACTCTTCTCAATCTCTTCTATTTTTTCCACCTGTGTTTCACACTTCTCTAACAGTTGCTGCACCACTTTTTTATTTTCTCTTGTATTTTTAACCAATGCATTTGTGTTTAGATATGCCTTCAGCAAATATTGTTGGTGATCAGGCAGTTCAGTTTCCAAATGCGCATTCATACATTCAGCTGGAATCTAAAAATGTAAATCAAATAATATTATGATAACAAGTTTAGTAACAAATACCCTATTTCTAGATTTTGATGTATACATGATTAACCAGGGTCTTTTGGGTTATCACACGTGAATCACAGAACAGTTTTGTGATATGATGCCTATCTTGTTTGTATTGTAGCATGATTAACATCCAATATTTGTTACACCCGCTGTTTGTTATTAACATGGATATACTGACATACCTTACTATTGTCGTTTGCCCGTAAGCTATAAATAGCTCTATTTCAAAATTCGGATTATTAATGGCGGGCGATTACAGAAAAACAAATATCGTCTGTGTCAATGATGTTTTTTAAGCCATTCACGTTCTTTGTTACTAGGAAGCGCTACTATTAGAGACGGTGTATTCATTGTTGCAAAAGAAGTTGTGGAATTCCGGGGAAAAAAGTCAGTCATCACCCTAACATTATGTATTTGATTCGAATAACTATAATTAACATGTTCATGTCATACTGAAGTTAAACCCCTACTGTGGAATGACTACATACCATTGCTTCACATCCGATGGCGTTGTAAGTGCAAGGTATTATTTTCACTTCACAGTCTCCATTAGTTGGGTCTTGATGTTGTTTTAACTATGAAAAATAACAATAACCAAAGTATATTATCAGTGTTTTTACACAGTTTATCCGCAGTTTGTCAAATAATCAGTACAATATATTTCAAATGACTACAGAATAAAATTATACATATAGTTATTAAGACTATCCTTTCTAAATTGACATAATTTCAAATCAAGTCTGTGGGATTGTTGAATGCACTCCTTGGTCTCACCTCTTCTCGCAAAAAATCAGCAAGTCCACAATGCTGACATTTTACAGGATATTGCGGACACTCATTCATGTGATGTTTCTAAAAAAACAATTCATGGTTGTATGTAATCATTGTTATTATCATTCCAATAAATAACATAACAACTTAAAAATCTCTCTCCTAACCATATTATGATCACTCAAGTTCAAATTAAAACAAAAGAAAATTTTTTCACATTGTGCTATGAAAATAACTAGTATTATCAACAAATATCTTTCTGCCGATTTCAAGTACAAGGCGTTCCCCTCGCACGGACAAGTAATATTTAGTTGACAACCTCGTACACTCAGTTTTATGTGAGTATTATTCGAACATACTTCACCTAATGACATCACACAATGAAATAAACTCTTGAAAATGTGTTTACAAAAAAATAGGGCTAATCTGCACTGGCTCGGAAGGTTGTAAATGATTAGCTAGTTTGAATTTCTAATTTGCATAACATTACTGAGAATGAACGTGCATTCAACGCCACAAGTCTTTTGTTTTTTTAGCCAATCAGAATTCATCTTCCGAGCCAGGGCAGATCAGCAGAAAAAATAGCTAGATCGCTATATTGAAAATGGAAAACGCATGTAACGCATGAATTAGAAAACATCCTGTCACGCATTAGCATTTTCGTCACAAAAATAACAACCATTGGCGTTAGTATTTATAGAAATGTACGTAGTGATTATTCTATGGATTTGCATCACAAACACATTACTAAACGTAAAATACGAAATGTGGCTTACAGTTGATATGACACCAAATTACAGAAAGTAGTAGTTTACCTCAACAATCTGACTTCATTAACAACTGAGTAAAATGAAATTTAAATTCAACTCTTAAGTTGCAGTATTGTACTAAACTATGATTCAATGTAATTTGTGGATGTATATACTTACTTCGAGCTTCTTGAAAACAGTCTCCTCTTTGCAGTATTGGCAGAGTACAATACGCATCAAACACTCATTTTCAAGATGACTGGCTAAAATACTTCTAATAATCATCACGGCGCATTCACGATTGAAACACAAAATAAACTGCCAGTCACACACCTCGAAATGATTCTAAGTGAGATGACCGTAAGTATAATTTTTTACCATGTAATTTAATTAGGTTCAAGGATAACATGTTCTAATTTAACTAACGATTGATATGTTAAATATTGATATTTATTTTTCATAGTAAAACAGTAGTAGGAATATCAAGACTCGCAACTGAACAGACAATACACCGTACCCAATAAACAGAGAATACATCATACCTCATAATCTGCAAAGTTGCCTTTCCACATGCATTTATCATTGTAACACTCCACATACATGGTACTTAATTCACGCTTGATTGCTCTGTCTCGAAAGATCTAACGAGTTAAATCGATTTGGGTGAAAACAATTAATTAACGATTTAATTTCAATATATCTGGTTAAACGACACAATTTTATAGAAAAAATACAAGGAAACGTTTTGTCGCAAAAAAGTTACTAATAACATTGAAGGATTGGCGTGTTAAGTTCTATAATAGAAGTTTACACCGAAGTACTACGCTATATTCGCGTTGCCATGTAAACGAAAGGTGGCATTGCTTTCCATAAACTAGCTTAAATATTTTTGAATCAATACGTAATAGTATTAGAAATTTCAGAAATACTACTCGTGATATTATCGATCATTCACATCTCTGAGACACCACATTTATCTCTGTGCAGCCGCGACTAATATCTAATCATTATCATTTGATAATAATAAATTTAAATCATTCTTAGGCAATGCAAATCCAGTGTGATTAGATATATTATTCATATAACCTCTTCTGATGATATTACATAGTTCTCGTCGTGCTCATCACTACATGCCTGACAGCCATGGTTTCCAGGCTTGCTGAGAAAATAAAACAGAGCGAATAAATTTACTAATTTAGATACCAAGCAATATTACATGTGTTTCTACACTTGTTATCATTTCACTAAGACAACATTTGCATGCATGCATTAACGTAAAGTTATAGCATTCGATTAACTATATATAGCTGTACACACACTACAGCTACAATTTGTGAGCTGTTTTTTTCTAAAAAACACACTACTATATTAACAAAACGTTAATGAATTGTTCCTGTTTTTATTGTAAACAACCACAACAAATATGTTACCCGCAAAAAAGACTGTCACCTTAAAATATCTTCCACACAACCGTTACAGTATCGATGGCCACAGAATGTTTGCACTGCATCACGTAATATCAATTTGCAGTATGTGCACACGTATTTGTCGCTAATTGGATTCCTAAAAATAAGTTTCGAATAGCCAGTCATCTTGACATTGATGGTAGTTTAGCTAAGGAAAAGCAAAGGAAATATAGAAAACTTAACAATAACATTATAATGATAGAATTTGATTATTTTGCATACCACCTATTTCATTTATGGCGTTTCAACGGTCACAGAGAAATATGTAAGAAACACAAATAATACAGGTATAAACAAAAGAACCGTCAATAAATGGGAAATATCTCACTGTAAAGAATGAAAAAAACATGAGATAATAAACTGGTAGCCTAAGTAATATGAATTGATAGTGAATATAATAATTTGATATGACACACTTGATATTAAACACCTTCAATACCCATTATATTTTACAATTAGTGGTTACGATTTGATATAAACACTAGTGTTATTATATCATGTAATGGAATGTAGGGACATTGAATCATGCTGGATTATGTTATGATCGGAGCACAGATAAAACTTTTCACCGTGAACTTTCTTTTTGGCCCCGGTGGTATTCACTGAAGTGGATAAACTAGTTCGTTTAAATGTTAGGTAAATGTGTAATGATTTACATCTCTATGGGTTATGTTGCAAAAACAGCTCTGAACTAATTGTGGTTTCTGATTTACAGTTGTTTGAACTGAGTCAGATGTGAAATGGAACCAGTTGAGTGTCGCGCAGTGATCCGGTTTTTGTATTTGAAAGAACGCACACCAAATTAGACTTTTGATGAAATGAAAGAAACTTATGGTGTTGATGCCCCGTCATATGACCTTGTAAAACGTCGGAAGTCTGTGGAAACAGCTCCAAGATCTGGTCGTCCCTCTTCTGCCATTGATGAGGCATCTGTCCGTCAAGTTGAGGCAGCCATTTTCGAAAATCGACGCATTACTGTTCGCCAAATTTGCATAGGCGTCCGCCAGATGGATTCCCAGGTTGCTCACACCTTTCCAGAAGCAGGAACGCGTCGAGTGCTCGAGGATGAATTTGTAGATGTGCCAAGAAGAGGAGTCAAAGTTTTTAAAAAAGCCTGATTACACAGGGTGAAATTTGGATTCATCAATATGATCCAGAGACCAAAGCCCATTCAATGCAGTAGAAGCACTTGGACCCACCACCTCCAAAGAAGGCAAGGGTGCAGCCCGCCATTGGCAAGGTCATGCTCACAGTCTTCTGGGACCAGGACGGAGTAGTGATGACAGATTTTCTTTTGATGAAATTAAGAAAATCAAGAGGCGGGGCAAGATCAGCAAAGGTATCCTCCTCCTGCAGGACAATGCTCCGGTCCACAACTCGCATGTCGCCAGATCAGGAGCACGGGCGTGTGACTATGAAATCTTCCCCCATCCTACTTAATTTTTTGACCTTGCACCCTCTGACTTTCATCTCTTCCCAACCATGAAGTTGTTTTTGAAAGGAAAGCGTTTCCCAGATGATGCAACCTTGATTTAGGAAGTTACGACGTGGCTGGAGGACCAACCTGAGATATAGTTGAATACGGTAGTGCATATACCGGACCAATGTTTGTCTCGGGAATTACCTGACGGTCAATTTGAATTCCAATTTGTCAATTCCGGCTATTGAAAACACTGTGTTTTACCACTATCTGTCACGTGATGTACTTGTGAATTATAAGACATTTGGACGACACTGTTTTCCCTAATCTGCCTTTCTAGCTAAGAACAAATAACTGCAAATATACTGCCAACAATTCGTTCATATTTGTGTAGTAACCCATGATAATAATTCGTTGCTTGCGATCGTTCATTTAATTGGGAATAACAAATGTGTGCATGCTTAAATCAATCGATTACATGAGAAAAGATCCTACTATTAGGGAATCATATAATTAGTCATGACGCACGATTTAGTTTCGATGAAATAAAATAATCGAATGCAAAAGAATAATGTTATAATGAGCACCAGGTGTGAACAACACTGGAATTAGTGCGTTTACTCATGAGCCACTAGGAAACTTTCCTTAAAGATAACCGTTATATGTTAAATTGAGAAAAAATCTTCATCATCATGATCGTTGTTCACGGGCAGTTTTATGTTTGCTGAACGTGAAAAATCGATGCCGAGGTTGAGTACTAATTGTTAATCAACAGTGTGCATGTAAACGTTGGCACTGGTTCACTGGAATGACGCCAACCATCACCCTTTTAGATACACTCCAATAAGTCATATGTTACCGTGATTAGCTTATTACGTGCACAGGTATTCAGTTCAGTAATATCTTCTTTACTTCATCTTATTTTAGCAATAATTTGTTTTCATGTTTTGTTTCGAACAATGCGTTGATTGGGACGATCGGTATTTTATATCTAACTTTTATTTGCGTCACAAAGGGAATCAAATTGTTATTTCTCTACCCAGGAAGGTAGTTTAACAATGTTAGGAGCTGGTGACTATCCTAAATAGAAAATGACCAATAGGTTTTAAGACCACCAATATTTGCGCAGTGTCGCGTTTATTCCCGTAAACACCGTAAATTTAAACGTGCAAGAGTTTTATCATTATTATCAAGTTTTGAATATCTTAAGTTTCGATGATTTTAAAACATATGTTATTCCAACCTCCTATAATTATCAAACTTGTCTTTCACAAAGGACGTCGGAAACCAGCGAGCCATTTAAAACCGAATTTGTTTATTTCTGTTATCATGACATCACAGAAGGCATTATTCAACTAAATACTATTAATAAGTTCAACAGCTCATTCATGGACCTATACTTTTAGACTGTTCAGAAAAATCTCAACAGTTCGTCTAAACGCAGATCCTAAGAACAGTTTTGTGAAATATTCTACTCTTGTTTTCACAGCGTTCTGTAGAGTTTTGTCATTCTCGTCATTCTATAGCCAGCTTCTAACATAGCTGCGATCAAAGTCCAAATCTTGAATGTGTAGTTTAGTAGAAAAATCAATACAAAAACACGTACTATGGACCTGTTGATTTACAGTGACAACTGGTCCGTATATCACAGAAAGACAAATTCAGAAAACATATTATCATTGTTGCTCTTTTTGCAGTGTTATTAAGCTAGCTGTGGCGGCGGCACAGGGGCGGCGCTCCCTCGAAAAAATGTTAGGGGGCGTCGCCCTTCCATTCCAAAATCGAGCTGAAATCCTTTGTGTCACAAAATTTGCCCCTCGAAATGCAGGAAATGGCGTTTCACATGATCTGGATTTCAAAATGTTTAAGGGGGAGCATACCCCCGGACCCCCTAGTAAAGTCGTGCCTTTGGTGCAAGGTTGGTGAGCAGATCTCGTCCCTCAATGTAACATTTCGTGCCGCCGCATTTGGCTAGTAATATATGTCCGTATAGACGCTACTCAGCTTCATCGTCGTACGTTGGTTACGCGCTTGTTATGCCATACAGTCAATAATATCGTGACATAAAAACTATTCACTGGTATCTCTGTTTGTAAATGTTATCAGCCAAGCGAGTCAAAGTTCCTTAAACACTACGCACTGTTCATAACAATATGTTCTTTTGAATTTTGAATCTGTGAATTCGACTTGTACCGAGCTTTCAAGTAGAAAATCTCGGCCAGACTCTCTATTGGGCAGGTGCAAATTGAACGTAAAACAACAACAACCTCTGAGATGCTCGTCAATTTACGCCGAAAGTATAACACGGGGCAACTTAGTATGTCAGTTCTTTAAGTTCAGCGAAAGAACAACAGCAGATTTCCGCTATTTAAACTGAACGTATCAAACGGACTACCTCGAAAACGGTGATCTTGTTGACCAACACTACAGACGCTGAGCAAAGGCTGATGAGCTTTCTCCATTGTTAAAATTTATTTCCGACATATCCGAAAACAAAAACTGTATAACCTAACGACGTGTTCCGTGGTCGCTTAAGAAACCTACATTAACACTTTGTGTGTGTTTATAAACAGTGATCTGTAAACTACGTTTTATATTGTTGTGCTTGAATAATATAATCATCGATAATTTTATAATAAAATACCGTAAACTCACCAAGTACTGTTGACAAATGAGGATATGCGACACAACAACCGTGATTACTTCACCAAGATATCAACCATCAAGTATGAATGGGGTAGTTAGGTGGTTGTGCAAGGCACTGGTATTGTTATTGAGTTCAACATTTACAATGTACATTGTGGTATAATTAGGTCAATGAGCTAACAATACACATTACGGTATACATACCGGGACCGCTAGTTTACTTCCAGGCTGCAACATGTTTAGCCTGGAATCCAGCCATTCCGCGTATACCCAAGAACGGACTAGTGAATTGGTATGCAACTATTGGCGCATGGTTGTGTGTCGTCACTGATTGGTTAGTTACAGTTAGTAACACCACCACGTTTATACTGAATGTTTTTTTTATCTAATATTCGAGGACTTTTCAAAGTCTTTCCATCATATATGGCATCTAGTCTACAACATGTAGGATATTCAATCAAAGTAAACTCGGATGGTAGAAACTGGAAATATGTCAATGAAAATAGAGAATGATGCCCCGATTCATGATTTGCTCGTCATGAAATATAGTAAAGACTTCACAGAGGAATGTGCATCTTATAATGGCGGAAAGTGATGACGATACAATTTGACACGACGACGAACTCATTACATCCTTGTCAAATCATTTTGACGTGTGTGACAGGAAATTCCGCGATGAGACAGATACACAGACTGAAGGTGAGTACGATGATTTTGAGATGAATACAACTATCAACATTCAACAACAACTGAAAATCATGGTTTTTAAAGATTGTATTGTCAAAATGTTTACATAGATGCCAAAAATATGAGAAGCAGTGCTTGATAACAAAGTTCCGGGTATATTACAGCTCGTTTGGCAAAATGACTTCTGGTTATGAGTGAAAAACATATTTCAGCATTCAGCGCAAATATTTGTTTCCTTTTATCAACTATTTCTGGTAAAATGAATCACATCGCATGAAATACGAAATAGGGAAGAACGACATTGTGAAACTTGCAGGTGATAGTCATTGTGATTCAGGATTTAGCGACAAATACAGCGCTTATAGTTTTATGG